TGAGAATGGAGGAAAAAAATTCAATAGATTTTTCATGACCTGAAAAATCACTTCACTTTAAAAAGTGGGGCAGGGGTGTCTACGAGTTCTCTTTTAGGAGTAAGGCACGGCTATCATAATCCCAAGGTCTCAACAACTGACAGTCGGGGGAGGGTGGTTAGGATGAGAACAAAAGAGAATAACTTGAAGATGTTTTAGGCCTTCAAGAAAATAAGAGCCACACGTTTGGTATCTGAATTAGCTGTGTCAAAACACATCTAATGTTGCTGAGGAAATTCTCTTCCGACTTTAAGAAGTCACCTTACAATTCTAAAATTTACTTCATGAACTTTCCAACATCTCAGCATTAGAGTTCAGCTGTAGGTAAGAGTAAGGGGGTCAGATTAATCCGATGGCAGATTAAATACGTTCAAATCCTTGCTTTTCAAAACCTGGTGGTACATTACACCTATTTCAGAGTTTAACCCATTTTCTTCTTGGAAAATGGAGATAACAGCTGTATCTCTATTGTATAAGGGATGGCAAACGCCTTATGGAATTCCTGCCACACGGAACTACAAGTTGCCAATGATAACTGAAATATAATACATTGTTGGTTATGACTCTGATTCTCCTAGGTATCAAATGTTGTTGGTCGTATCTAAACTCCCTCAGAACCTGGGTGCAAGGCAAATACCTGTAATGAGGCATGAGGACCAAAAAAAAAGGCAGAAGGGTCAATGTGATCAGATCCTACATTTAAAAAACTCATCTGTGGACTCCTACGAAATTGCTGCTTTACAGTCTAGTCTACCAACAAAAAAATAATAATGGAATAAAGCAGTCTTGGTAGCAGTTGTTGCTTATACTGTATATTATTAGCAATATATAATATGTACCTGTAACTACAGAAAACAGCGAAAGGGCAGCATATCATGAATTATTGTATAATACTATCTTTCTACATTTTAAAGAAATGAATCAGTTGACAAATTCATTTTTTCTCACATATTTGAATAAATCTCCTTTCTTCGTATTATAAAAAATTACTCAGGAATTCACATGTAATGACATCCTATGCTATGGTAAACTAAATTTCTGTTAGTGCTTTGTGGAAGGTGATCCGATAGTCTGCCTCTTGCCTGGCCATTCTGAAAGCGCAAGAGAAATGCTGCTGGGCCAAGTGCTTTAGCGGTTGAAATGATGAAGTGTTTGGACGCTGGGTTTCAATTTTGAGAAAGGCAGTAACTGATGGACTCTCTACAACACAAGGAAAATGCAAAAAGGGTCAGTGTCATTAGTGATTTTGCCAAACAAAAGTGGCAGAGACAAACTGCCTTTTAAGAAGTCACCCAGTTTAGCTGCCAGGGCACTTGAGGCCTACAGAATAAAATAAGCCTTGTAAGTAAATGGCATTTTAAGAAAAGTGATGACCCAAATATATGAGTTCTTTAGCCTAAGCTGAAGGAGAGCGTGCGGCTCTTAACACCTGGGGTTAGGAGCCAACATTGAACAGATGGCCAAATCTGGTGGCAGGAGCGTTATGATGGGCCAGAGGAGGCTGGACCAGAGGGACCTCTGCAGTGGCCAGTGCTGACTCAGTGTCGAGTCTGCAATATGTAGGACAGCGAGGTCTGGGATGCTCCCATTCCGGCATCCGCTATCTTAACACAGGGGCTGCTGTGATTTGCTTTGCTGATGTAATGCAGACATGCCCGAATTTAACATTAGTTCTCATGCACCGACTCCAACAAGATGTAAACCCTGGATTAGGCACAATATCTGTGTGGTTAGCACTAGAATCATTCAAACGGTAATTCAGAATTTAGAGAAGCGTAAACCAGGAATCTTTTTTTGGGTGGGGGGAGGGCGGTGGGAATTCATGTGAGCATGAGGACGGATTCCTCTGCTAAAGGAAAAGTAAGTTTCTCTAGAAACCTACCAATGGTCTCTGTCAATAATGTTCTATTCCTGACTGCAGCATGCTCGAGCCCTGTACCATCTGATAACGTCACAAACCGAGAAAGTTATATTAAAATCCTGAGATCTAAAGTGGTTCCCAAAGTCTGTTGCGGCAGAAACATCATTATCTCTTAATGCAGACACAGCAAGAACCTGGAAAAGGACACTTAGGCAGTACTGAATGGAAAACCCTGGACTCCCCTTTAAAGCACCTTGGAGACCATTCACGGTTCCCCCATCGCTGCTCAGGAACAGCCAGAGTGCCACTAAATATAGGCACTGGCACATTTTAGCAGCGCCACACACTAATGGGGGCAGGTCAAATTATGACTTTCTAACTAAGCCTGGAACCGAACAGACGTTCTTTTCTTTTTGTCTTTCTTTTTTGAACAGTGCTGCTTTGACTGTGTGTTCTTCTAATGCGAGGAGTCCTGGGCTTACCTCCTGTCACATACAAAGTGCGTGCTTTGTGGGAAGAGGCAAGCTTGGGGCTCCTAGGGAGAGGTGCAGGAGGGTGAAGACATGACAGCCAGCGCCTCTGGGGGTCAGCCTCTCTTCTCGTCCTTGCACTCTGACTGAAGTCCTTAAAAAGGGAAGCTGCTGTGCTGTTCCCGCAGCCATGGAGCCGCAGGGAGGAGGAGAACGGTTAAGAGGGAAAGCTGCTAGTTACATCACTCACCGAGTGGCTGGGAAGAGGGAGATGGACAGGCTAGAAGGTCAGGCTCTCTCGCTTTACAAGAATACCTGCCCAAGGGCAAGAGACGTTAAGCCAATTCCCTGGCCGTACCACACTACGGAATGTGGACATTGGGGTCTTACGCTGCTGTCTGATACACACACAAGTATGGCCAGCATAAGAGAGAGGAAAAAAAAAAACCCTCAAATAAATGCTGTCCTGACATTTTTTGGACACCACAGCACTACATATTTGGTTCTTTCTGGTCCTACTTCTGGCTGTACCAATGAGTGATGTCATGGGAGTACTATAAAGTGTTGTAGGCATTCCTTCTGTCAACAATGAGAACTTACATCTAACAGGAGCGTGGAAGCATCTTGGATCCTAGGGGCACGAGAAATGGGAAATTTGGGAAAGCTACTTGAACACGATGATATTTAACCTTTAGCGCGATCACTTGGTCACTCCATCTGTATCTGCATCTTATTTAAGTTGTAAGCTACTTATTTGTATTATACGAGGTATAACTTGCTAGGTGATAACTGAGCAGAATCTGTAAGTAAGACACGGCCTTTCCATAGCGAGATGAGCTGTTTGAAATTGAGTTCTGGCTGAGTCCTTAGCCCGTGTAGAACTCAGTGGGTAGCAGAATGATTACAGTTGGCTATAGACTGCTACATCCACATGGTGTTGTGCCTAACCCTGGGGCCTGGCTTGGACTCCCCAACACAAAAACCCTCAACATAGTGGCACAGACAATAAATGAGGCTCTGAAAGTAGGACCACTATCGCAGCAACCAGCTAACACTGGATCGGACTGAAGCACGGAACACGCAGGGAAAGTGTGTTCTATGCTGAGGTACACACCTCTTCCTCTGAACTGTCACTCGGGTCATTGTCTAGGGAGGCGCTCAAGGAGGCCGCCTTGGGCTCCAGGTAGCAGAGGCACAGAGCCAGAGGGAAGGAGAGAGTGAGGGCGTATGGCACTGAGAAGGAAGCAGACAGCAGGAAGAAGAAGATGAAGAGGAAGCAGGGTAGGAGGGAGGGTGAACGGATGGGCAGGAAGTGCTGCCAGCTCTGGGGCAGGAGGTTGGTTTCAGACAGGTTGGGGAAGGAGAGGTACCCGTCATCATCTAGGAGGGAGGGGAATGACTCAGGGAGCTGTAAGGAGAAGGAGAACAGTGTGGTTCCTTTTCGAGTCTGCTGCCTATAACTAAATGCCACATCTTGGTCCCCTAAGTAAGCCATCCCCTGGCCATCAGACTCCAAGGCTGGCTCAGCTTTAGGCAGCACAGAACCTGTAAAGGGGTTTTCATTCTCCTTACACCTCCTGCGGAGCACTGTGGGAGATGGAGGGTCAAGATGGGCTGATGGGGGTGACGAGGGGCATGAGTCAGTGCCATGCCCAGGTGACTGGATGTGAAAGAGGACAGAGGAAGACAGGAAGCGGTAAACATGGATGCAAAAGGACAAAAAGAAAAGTGCAATTAGTCAACTTTCTCATGGGCATCAACATAAAATCGTAAAACAAGAGTTTTTAAAGTAGTCATGCTGCTTGGCAGCGACGCTGAGGAGGACTCTGGCTGTCCCAGTAGACCTTCATACACAGGCCGAGATGTTGTCAAAAGTCAGAACAGCAGTCGCTGTGAAGAATCCCACATAAACGCGTCGAAGAGCAAACAACTCTAATAAATGAAAACCAAGACTTTCAACACCACCCTCCTGGTCTCCAGGTAACAGTGCATCAGCTCCACAGCTCAGCTGGACTCAAAATGAAAATGAAATACAATTCAAATTCTAATTGGGTTCAAAAAATTTCTAGTCACTTTCCTTTGCTTGGTGAGCCAATTATATCCCAAACTGGTGGGTATCCTAATCAGGAAGTTTCTGGCCCCGCTCTGTCTGAGGGGAGCAGCAGTGAGCATTTCAAGATCTCTGGTTCCCACAGAGAAGAGAAGTTCCTCTGATTTATCTAGGTGCATTTTTTGGCTTCTTTATCTAGGTGGCTAAACAGGACTTCAGCTCTTACCAGTGGTTTAAGGAAGCAAACAAGCAATACAAAAAATAAAAAATAAAAATAAATAAATAAATAAAATAAAATAAAAGGGTTTTTCTGGAACACGGTTTCTATGTGTTTGGTTTCTGCTACATATGGTCTACAAATAATGGAAAGATGTGATTTCTCAGCCTCCTGATTTCTCCAAACATAAAGGGTATGTTAAAACTGAGGTCTGAATCTTTCATACAATTGATAATGCATGCATGCATTCCCACCGAATTGCTCCCTATGAGCTCTTGCCTTCGTGAGATTTGGAGAATTGCCTCCATTTTCTGGGACCCTGGCAGTCTCAATGGCCAAAGTCAGAAGCAAGAAATCCCTGAACAGGCTGGGGCAAAGCACCGGGGCTCACATACCATGATAAGTTCAAGGCCAGGGCGTGTGGAGTTTGAGATAGCCTTCTTCAGCGGCTCCCCCTGCCGTGTGTGTGTGTGTGTGTGTGTGTGTGTGTGTGTGTGTGTGTGTGTGTGTGCGCGCGCGCGCGTGTGCGCATGTTTGCGTGTTACCTAGCAGCTTGAGAGCATGAAAATTACTCAGCCTACATGGTGGTGGTTATCCAATCTTAGAGAGAAGTGATAAAAATAGCAACCAAGGGGAAGAAAATGCACAAATAAAATCACATTTGAGGCATGAGGGATGGATAGAGACAATGTCCAGGTAAAAGTTTATCTGGATATGTCAGCCTTTGAAATGTCCCTCTGATACTCACGCTTGACATTAAACATTGTATCCTAAACAGGGATCTGCACACATCTCATTCAGCCAAGGATAATGCAGATATGACAAGCGGCCCACTCTCCCTAGGCAGTGAGACATTGTCACAGCAACATGACCCTCCCCAGGTAGCCTGGGAAACAGTCTTTAAACATTATTTCCAGCAGTGCGTTTTCATTTGGGTTCAAAATCAAGCATCCTCTAATGTAGCTTTTTGAAGATGGGAAAGAATAAGATTATGGTTTTATCTTCTGTGCCGTGTATTAAAGTGCTTTCAGAAAGACAGCTTTGCGGTGGAGAGAAATAAAGACAGCCAGCACCCGTCAGTCCTAGATCTCAGCTACAGCCTTCTGGAAGACTCTGCTGAAAGGTCGTCTTCTGGGGGACTGGGGTTATGAAGGTATCCCCAGGACAGCAATGGCATAGAGCAAGATGGATGGGTGCTGCTTCTTCCTACATGTAAAGTTACAGGATGGCTTTTCAAAAAACAAAATAAAAGGAGGAAACCTGGACCTACTTTGGCAGCAAACATAAAAACCCTTTCTTTTTGTCTGCTGTCTAAGCGCACTTCACAGCCATGAGCATCACTGGTACGCATTGGTCGTCTCAGGAAACCTGGAACAACCAGGGGTAAGAAGCATCCATGTTTGCATTCCAGGTGGATTATCTCCCCTCCTCCCCACCATGCCCCAGTTATAAGATCTGACGTGGGTTTAAGTGATGAGAAGAATATAAAAGCCAAATTTAGAACCAAGCACATTTGGACAGCAGAAGTGATCCGAAGGCCCTGGCCATCATTTCTGACTCTGTGCTGATTTTTGTGTTTGGAAAACAAAGAACCCATCCCAAAAAGGAAGAGCAGAATGACAGACCGGGTAATCTGAAATATTTTATCTAATATAGAAAGTGTTTATTTACTCTGTTTAGGTTTTTGAGGTGCTGGATATTAAACTAAGGGTCTACACACGCTAAGCCATGTTCTCAGAAGTAGAAGCAGACATCACTTATCTGATGAACTACCTGCTTAGGAGGCTGTTGAACTTTTATGGGAAGAAGCCCCGTGCAGTCCCACACCCTGTTTTTTCCAAGAACATTTCTATGCAACAGTGCACCAGGGAACGAAACGCACTTGCAGTTCAGGGTAACCCAGAGGCTGTAAGATGGTTCATTTCCCATACCCCCTCTCTGTACGCCCTGTCCATTACAGGGAGCTCTCGGTTCCCATCATTGCTATGCATGAGCCTCCCAGATATGCTAAGTTTCAAACTGTCTTGCTAGGAAGTTGCTATAATATTGCACCACTGGAAATCAATCTGAAACTGAAAACTAGTATTTAAGGAGTTTAATTTGGGGGAAGTGACGTCATAACGTGCAATGAATGAAAATTGCTATTGTGTCAAATTCGCTTTTCTCCTTCATTGCGACAGGTCACTTCTGGGCAGATCAGATTGTAGTTAGAAGACTAAGAGATCAGACATAAACACTGGTTACGGTCCCTCAGTGCACATGTCTAAGAAAACCTACCTACCATTCCGGGTAGGAGAACAGGGCCAGAAACGGACAATCGCTTCAGTGACAGTAGTAAAATGTTGAGTCCAAACAGAAAAAAAGTACTGCACCAGCCAAAATACTTTTAAAGAGATCCATCCAGAACAGCTGTTGAAAGTCTTGTAAAACACATTCCTTGTTAAAATTTTCCAAAAGGATAAGAAAACAACTTTAAGAGAATGTGCTGAAATAATAATAACGTAAAACCCGACATGAATCTGACCGGTGCTGGAACCTGAATGCTCCTCCACCTTAAAACCCCTTGGTCTACCATCCCAGAACCACGAGCTATGAGTAAAGGCTAGAACCGCTCTAGGAGGCAGCCGGGAGCTGTACCTTTCCCTCATGCCGGAGGGCTGTGACGGGGGTGGCTTCCTCGGCCTTCCTCCTCCTGTCCTCTTCCTCACCATGCTCCTCTTCAGCCTTTTTCTCGGGAGTCACAGTGGTGATCAAGTTGGTCTGAGAGATGCCCTTTGTTGTGGCGTACTGGCCTGTGCCAACCTCTGCAGCGGACATAGAATCCTTCATGTATATTTCATGGTTTTCATTCACTGATGCTAAAAGCAAATACAATCGGGGAAATAAAATCCCAAAGAGTTAAGTCAGAAGACGGAACGACAATGCCACACTGTGCCTTTACTAGGAGAAAAACACCAGTATCAAATATTGGGCTGGTTTGCGCAAGGCAAAGGAGAGCTGGGGGGACTCGCATCCAAGCACTACCTTTCTGTGTCACCTGGACCAGTGCTTTAAAAAGGATTTAAATGTCCATATCTTGAACCCTAGAATAAGGCTTAGCATTCTCATACTCTCTGGTGAGGGCGGGGAGGAGCTGGAGGAGAGGAGGCTGGTTTTACCCTCAAGAGCACTGGCTGGGCACTCAAAACAGATTCATCCTAAGTTCAACAATTTGCAGCAGTATTTCCAGCAAATACTCTAACCACTTGACTTTGAGCATATCCACGGGAGAGCCATTCATCAAAGGAGCAATGGATTATTTCTATGATTTTCCAATGTTGAAAAGTTCACCCCCCTTACAATACAAAAGCCCAAAGCGTAGGAATAAAATGTAGTAATTTTGGCAGAGATTATAAAATTTAGAAGGGCAGTCCTCTCAGTTGACATAAGGAAATGTTTTAATTTCCATTGCATTTGAAAGAGACTGTCACAAGGATATGTAAACACATTCATTCTCATCTCTGCTGTTTGGGGAAAACAAGACAAATGTTGCTAGCAAGCAAAGTCCATGCAGAGGCCGAACATGTGAGCATAGGGATGTGAGCGTCAGGCCCTCATCCCAGCTAAACCCATGCAGAGGCCGAACATGTGAGCACAGGGATGTGAGCATCAGGCCCTCATCCCAGCTAAACCCATGCAGAGGTCGAACATGTGAGCACAGGGATGCGAGGTTCACCTCCTCATCCCAGCTATTGTCTTAGTAAAAGATGCTTCATTCAGTTTTAGTGCTTAATTCAGATCAATTTTAAATTTTGCTAGTCAATTTTTTAGGGCTTAGATATCATAAAAACACACTGAAATTTATACACACTTCTTTTCAAATACCCCACAGTTGATCACAGACAAAGATATGGCCTGAATTCATATTTTAGTTCCTTTAAAACACCAACAAAAACAAAACAAAAAAAGATTCTAAATGAAATCCTTCACTAAGATATTCTCTGCCTCTTTATGCTGATGAAAAGCTCACATGAGACACAGTTTGTTATTATTATTTTTTTTAGCAGCCGGCGATGCTGTTATTTACAGGCTGCTGTCTCGTGAAAAAGCAGTTTAATGTTCCAACATGCAGACATGGCACCCGGCTCCACAGCAGAAAACACACTAGAATTGGCAGGGCAACGAAGAGCAAGACAACACATACTAACATCACTTTCGGCCAGAAAGGAAGAGACAGCGCGGTATTAGTACATTGATTTCACAATTGTCTTCTGTTTGTTCAACAGTCATTTTCACACAAAGACCACGAGGAAAGCAACCTGACAACAACTGTATTCTCTCGGGTGCATGTCACTGAACAAAGTAGGTGGTATTCAGCAGAAAGAAAGGCAGGATTCTACGGCAGTTCCTCAAATATTGACTTAGAGAACATACACATTGTTAGCAGAGAGTCTCTAAAGAGCAGAAAGAAAAGCTCTGGCCGTAACACAGAGATCTTCATGTCTTAATCCAACTGCAAATGGTCTTGGGTCTAGAAATATCAGAAGATTCAGAACAGCAGCATTCTCTCTTGGCATCTATTGCGGATTGTTCCAGCACATCTCTGAATACTTAATCTGTAGATGCTCGAGTCCCTTACAGAGGATGACACTCTTTTTACATACAATCTGTGCACATCTGTCTATAGTATTTAAACTATCTCTATTGATTACCCACCACTATGTGAATAATATGTAAGTAGCTATCACATTGTATTAGAGAATGATAAAAGAAAACAGTCTTTGTGCAATCAGTATGGATGTGGTTGTTTTTTAAGGGGAAGAAATACTGGGAATGTTGCAGTTATCTATCAGCAGTCTGTCTGTCTGTCTGTCTATCATCATCTATCAGCTGGGGACAGAACTGAACCTAGGGTCCTGGGCCTACTTAGCAAGTTAAATCCCCACCCACCCTGGAGTCTCTCATATTTTCAACCCACATTGTCAATTTACATTTGGTTGACCAGAGTCAGGACCTTTGAATATGAAGGCTGATTGTAATTAATGTTCTGGCCAGCCTACAAAGCCTCTAAGAATGATTATCAGCGTAATTATAGTGACAATTTTATCAACACCAAGAATGCTTCCCATACATCATCTTTGCTCTCCATAACAACTGTGCTGAAGAAGGTCTTATGTCCATTTTCACATGACTAAAACCGAGGGCCACACAGCGTGGGCATTAGTATGCATTTTCCTATGTGTCTAGATAAGTATTGTTTCTATACCTGTAGTAATATATACAGCACAGCACTCACAGTGCAAGCATGGCTGCTTCTTAATCAGGGGATGTGAGGGATGGATGGAGGGGAGCTGAGACCCAATAAGGAGTGGCTGAAAAAAACAGGTGGGTAAAGAGGGCCCCAGGCAATCTAATTTTTCCCTTTTCATTTTGGTTTACCTATTAAAATTGTGCACACCTTTCAGAATTGTCTAATTCTTTATTCATTTAGGATGAGTCTTCCATGAATCAGCCAATCCAGGGCCAGGTGCTGAATTAGACGCCCACAACCAGGTCCTAAGTGCCACTATTGCTGGCATGATCTGGAGCAGAAAGCATAGCTCTCTGCTGTGAAGGATAATGTCACAAACTGTAGACAAAACCACCCCTACTGGAAACTCAAGGTTAAGCTCACCCTAAGGTGAGCTGATGGGTCATCTCTGGCTACACCTGTTTGACCAGAGAGTAGACAAGGTCATTCACTACAGCCATGCTTTCTCCCACCTATCACAAGCTGACTGATAATTTTCATTCTCTCTAATTTTTAGAAACAGAGGTGTATTTTTAACTTATAGTTTTCTTCCTGTTACTCCTTAAAAACCCGCCTGGAAGAGAACTGAACTCTAGGGTGTGTGAGTCCTGTATTTAGAATGCAGACATCTTCCCCAAGGTCCAGTCTGCTAAAGACAAGATCCTTATGCCCCCAAGTACTGACATACCCCAACATGAACTCACAATAAAACAAGACTGACACAGATAGTTTTTGGAGATGAGAATGTTCAAAACCTGCCACTCAGCTGCGCAGAGCCACATGACGTCATTTCTCAGAGTTTACCCAAAGCCCACGGTCATTTCACATGCCCTGCTGTAGAGTTAGGGAGAGCAAGTTAGCAAATGCCTACCTCCGTCCAAGCTGCGAGACATGGTGTAACGTTTGCTGGATGAGCGTTCGAAGTAAGGCGCCGGGCGGTCTATCAACGCGCTGGCTCTTCTCGTTTGCGCCTGAGTTCTGCCGCTGTAACGGAACTTGGAGCCCAAGGTCAGGAATTTCTTTGGAGGTGCTTCTGGTAGCAATAGTCTGACGGCATTAAGAAAACACCAGAAAAGTTAAGTCATGCCCAGGTGGTATTTAAAGCCAATTGCTTTGCTTTCTGTGCTAAAAGTTCAATACACGTGTGATTAAATGAATCTGAGTTTCATTTTTAATTTTAGGAAACAATATGTATTAAGTAGGGACGTTATACAGAAGTTGAAGCAAAATGGGGGGTTGGGCAGAAGAGAGAGAGAAGACTATTCAGGGGATATAGCTTGGTGGAAGAATGCTTGCCTAGCATGCCAAGGCCTTGGGTTCTATCACTAGCACTACAAAAAAAAAAGATACAAGAAATATTAAGTTGGGTATGTTGGTACATGCCAGTAAACTTAGCATTTAGGAGATGGAGACAGAAGGATCAGAAGTTCAAGGTCATCCTCAGCTACATAGAAAGTTCAAGGTCAACCTGGGCTATGGGAAACCTTGTTTCCAATACACACACACACACACACCCACACACACACACACACACACACACACACACACACACACACACACACACACACGCAAGGAACAGACAGGATACTTGAAAACTATGAAATAAAATGATGAAAACACACGATAATAAAGATAGGTCAAGAATGGATGATACAAGATACATTAAGGAAAATTCTTGAGATTTAGTCAGATGTCCTTTGAGGGTTTCTATCAAGGAGCTCGGCGTGAGCTGGGTATGGGAGCGTAGGCCTAGGATCCCAGCTCTCAGGAGAGTGAGGGAGGCGGATTGGGAGCCTCAGGACAGCTTACACTGTATAGTGAGGCTGTGTCTCAAAACAGAAACGAAGGGGGATGCTACACAAGCATGAGAACCTGAGTTCGGGTCCCCAGCACCCACTTAAACCTGGGCAGGGTAGATCCTGTAATGCAAGCATGTCTATAGGGAGGGACATGGAAGTACAGACAGGGGGTCCAGCCTGGTGTAGGCAGCAGTGAACCGCAGACCCTGTCTTAAACACAGTGGGAGGTGATGTCCTTTGACCTCTATGTGTACAGTGACATGCATGCACCTGTGTTGTAGACCCCCCCCCCCCCCCAGGGGAAAGACAGAGGGACAAAGAGGAGAAAGAGTGATCATTGTGATTACAGGACTAGAAAGGGTCCATGATGTTTTCCTTTACAACTTTTTCTTCCCTAGTACAAGTGGTCCCAACAGTTCAAAATTTTGTTAGGAAGAAACCCAAATATTCACTCCCTACCTGAAAAATGTATGGTGCTCCACACACACTTTCCAGAGGCGCTTGGCAGCTCGGTGGTTCGGTAATTTGAACCCAATGGTGCTTTCAAACTGTTCGAACTAAAAATTTAAAAAAACACAGGAAAGATTAAAGTTCAGTTCGGTATTTTATAAATAAAATCTCTGCCGATAATTTACAGACTTACAGCCCATCCTAATTCTTTTTGTTACTTACTGAGTCGGCTGTTATGTGCAGAATTCACACTAGGAATCCACCCATTTTTAAACAATTTTTTAATCTATCACCTTAAAATGCTTGAAGTGTGGTTGACTGTCAACATTCTGTGCAAACATCCATCTTACCAAATCTAGAATCAAATCAGGAAGACACGTGGACTCCCTCCAGAGATCAGTGCATCTCGATCTCACTAAGTTTTGCTTGCAGGTTTTATCAGTGGTGGGAGGGCTTGAAATAAAATGCTCAGAAATTAACACAGATGTAGAAATAATCTACTGCAGACATAGGAATAACATTTCCTCCTAGTGCCTACGTGGAAATATGTATCCTTTCTCCACAGTCGACGCTTTGATATTGCTGAGGTTCCCCGTCTGTTTTACAGTACTGACTGCTAACACCTCTCTATATTATACACCACAGACTGGCAGAGCACATGTTCATATTTCCCAACTTGTTGAGAATCTTCAGATGATCCTCTGTCGGTCCTTTAAGCTTTCAAGATGAAATATCTGTCCTTCTGTATCGTGCTCTAGTATCATTATAGCTCCACAGCCAGCTTCCGGTGTATGCATGCATCGTACCTCAGGCCAGCAGAGGGCCCCCTTACACATAAAGGCTTAATCCAAAGAGCGCAGAACAACTGGACTGTTGATATCAACAGCCAACGTGATTCATGTGGCAAAGCAACAAGGTGAGGAAATCCCATAAGCATGCACGTGAGATATGATTCCCTCTTTTTCCTATTTGCTGAAGCAACCGGGGGAACTGGGAAAAAAGTCAGACATTGCCTTCCCCGGTTTCATACTTGCTTTGGCCATTCCTGCAGCCGTAGTGGGAAAAACTGCTGCGGTCCGAAGGTCCCAGTAAGTACTGTGGCTGTTGACTAAATACTTTTAGTCCTGCATCTAACATCTCAGAGCAGGACACCTGTGCCCAGGCCAGGGGCTGTCGAGTCAGCTCATTCTCTGGACAAGATGTGGGGAGGAATTTCTCTCCTCTTGCTCAAAAATTTCCAGTTTTTTTACGGTCATATAATAATTGCACCTATTTCTGGAGTATATCGTGGAATTTCAAAGGACATGCAACATGATGACCAGATCAGGGACGTTGGGCCTATGTGTCACCTCAAAGGTATGCATGACTTAATGCTGGGAATATTCCATATCATCCCTACTATGTGTTTTGAAATGTCAGATTCATTGTCAACTCTATTCACCAACCGAGCTGCAGAGCACTGGACACTCCTCCTCCTACCAAGGGCAGCCTTATCTGGTAGCCATCTTCTTTCCAACCCAGTTCCCCCTTCCAGCCTCTGGAAAGCCTCACTCCTTTCTCCACTTCTAAGCTGCTCATTAGTGGGAACAGATCAGCTTTCTGCTGCCCTTAGCACAGGATGAGAGGCCCCCAGTCTACCAATGTTCTCCCTGCTCTGGTTAGTACCTGCAGAGCTTACCTGCCACCTGCCACCTTTTAACTCAAATATGAGTACGAGGGATACAAGTTCCTTTGCACCTGTTTCTGCCAGGACCAAACCCTTACTCGCCCGTCTTCTGTACTTTACAACAAGGAACTATCCTCTGCTACCTCTGATAGCTCACTACCACTCACCTTAATGCACCATGGCAGGTACTCTGTGGGAGCCCACAAAAGCTTCCTAGTGAGATCTGAGCTTGCTTTACACAGCAGGGCTGCAGTAGGGGATGGCTTGACCATGTTGGTTACCAGGTGTTTGGAAGGATCTGCACTTGGCTTGTGCTAGGGGGAGGTCTTTTGCGCCACCACTTGGCATTTCTATAAATAGCCCTTTAGAAGAGACAGAAGGGGCTGGTGGGTTTTGACCCAGGCCCTCCTGAGGCTATCCTGTGTTTCTAACGGTCTCTCTCTTCTATAGTGCTATCTACATATTTCTCACTTCTCCCTGCTCAAGGGTACCCGGGGGGAAAAACTAGGGGCTGGCCCCCCACAGTGCCCCTAATGCTTCCCAACTCTTACACATGTTCATCACACACTTTTCCTTGGTCCACATTCTGCATGCCCTCTGTGTAGGCCACAACACAGTTAGTGGATCACTTTCTGGAGAGACTCGTGTCATGTGGCACTTAGTCCCTAATGTCCGTGGCTGTCTGTCTGCGTCTCCCTACATTGCTCTTCTGCTGGCCCCTCTCTTGAACTGATGTCATTAGGGCCTCCTTTTGAACCCTTTCTGGTCTTTGGGAAATTTATGCCATGCCTAAGGTCTTCAATAAGTCGTATACAGCTGGTAACTATTTATTGTCTACTGGGCAAAAACTAATCCTGAAAGTCTGACTTTTACCCCAACAAGCCTACCAAGTGATTGAGTCATCTTGATACTTTCAAAAAGACCTTTATTTCATGATGTCTCTGACCTTATTTCCCCTTTATGATTCTTAAAATTTAATGCTAAAACATGGCAAACTGTTAATAATTTTAACTAAGAGAAACCGAAGAGCAAGGAGTGGACCTGTGTTGAAAGAATTTCAATCTTGATTATTTTCTGAAAAATTTCCCTAACCTTCCCCTCACATTCAAAATCAGTTTCACTTATGGGAACAGAAACCTCTCTCTGGGAAGTAAAAGGAAATGTCTCCCTTTACCCCATCCCCACTCTGCTCCAAAACTTACCAGTTCTGCCCAGAACCTTCCCACAAACCTGTTCCCTCCATTCTCTTCTCACAGCCCCTGAGCCACTTGGGTCCTATCATGCTGCCATACTGTGTAGTTGGATTTCATTATGAAATTTATGAATGCAAAGTATTCATCCTGTGTGTTATAGCTTTTTTTAAATCTTCCATGGACCACAGCTGTCTGTTAGTTCACGTCACCAGCTCTCCCTTCTGACATCCCCCAGCACTGCTCACACCACATCTACAGGCGACCATCTCGTGTGTAACACACTGTTCACTCCACATCTACAGGATACCATCTCGTGTGTAACACACTGCTCACTCCACATCTACAGGACACCATTTTGTGTGTAACATGGTATTACAGCTTCAAGTGCTCACTGTTTCTCTGCTCAATGGAAAATAAATGGAAATTGCCTTAAGAGAAAGAGCAGGTAATATTTATCTACTTCTAATGCTCAACCTACTGTCTGAGAAGAAACACATTCACTGAAGTTTTCATTGCATTCAAATGAATGTATATTCATTTCAGAACAATATTTTAAAACACTTGCAATTTCAGGTATAAATATGTGAAATACTTATTATGCCATTATAGATAATTATGGTTTTATATTTACATTAAATGTGATTATTGCCCTATATTTTCATTTTTAAACTTTTTAAAAATTTATTTCCTATGAATGAGTGTTTTGTCTGCATGTATGTCTGTGCACCATTTTCATGACTGGCGTCCAAGGAGACTTCTGGAAGATGGTATCAGATTTCCTGGAACTGGAGTTACAGATGTTTGTGCTAGTAATCGAATCTGGGTCCTCTACACAAGCAACAAGAGCTGTTGATCATAGAGCCATTTCTCCTTATATTTTAATTTTTATAAATGATTTTCCACCCAGAAACTCCAGTGGAGAGGTAAAATCTTAAGAGAGACAAATCTTGTATTATGCCAGGAACTTCAGAAACATAAATGAACAGGGATCTTTGGGATTTGACAGCCTTGAATATACTAATCACACCCATTAGAAAATTTAGGTGTTTATTAATTTTTCTTCTAAGTGCGTGTCAGGGAGCAGGCATTTATAGCTTACTATGTGCAAATCAACAAGGAAGATGTAAGTCCATTGTGTAGACTGTTGCTTAAAGAGTATTAACAATTCTTATCATTAGTTTCTCCAAATTAAAGAAAAACTACATAATTCACATTCAGAACTCTGCTCCAATGTTTCTTGTACCTTGAAGCATGCTATCTTGAAGCTGCTGACTTGAGGGAGTAACCAGATTTATGAGAACAAAATGAGGAGTGGAATTGTTAAGAGGATACAGAGGAAGACAGCTCCTCACCACAACTTGGAGTATTAAAAAATGAGGCAGGAATCTTGACACTACATTAAAATATGATTTTACAAGTTCTTTCAGTTAATATATGCAGTCGGTTAAAAAAATCTGAATAACCTAAAAAGAAGGTAACATTTTGTTACTAATTACTGGAGGAACCTACAACAAATTCTCAGAGGCATTTAGACATAATTTGCCATGTCCCACAATGCTTGGAACTCACAAGCACATCGTTTATATTTCTGCTTGCACTTAGGACCTTTCCTCTCAAAGCCTATAAAAATAAGGGGTGTACTTACCTCTCCTGGCCGGATTTTAATGTAAAAGTTGTTCCGTTTATATGAAATTTTTAGGACCTTGGGCCAAGCAAATCTGTTTATTCGAAGCCGGTCACGGTATATCAATAGACCACTTGCACAGACTCCTAACATAATTTCTACTCCTTCTGAATCCTGGAAGAAACAATGGAGCAGTATTTCACTTATTTCCATTTTCTGCAGGTATAAGATTTAGGACTCCGTGACAGAAGTTATAATTGACTAATTTAAATATGAAAAATACTGCTGCGATTTTTTAAAAACACCACTACTACATAATAGCATTTTAATGATGGTATTTTTCACTATGGAGGGCTGCTGAAGTTAAATCAGTTCTCCTGAGTATATGAGACTTATAGCACTAATACTGCACACAGAGTTTCACACACACACACACACACACACACACACACACACACACACACACACACACACGGGTGTGCACACACATGTACAGTCTTCACCATGAAATTCTGAGGCGTGGAGTCACCCAGCACCCAGGTTTAAGAGGTATCATTGTGACGTCTGTCCCCTTTGAATGTTTTATCCACCGAAATCTGTACGATGGACATCTGTGGTGGTTTTGAAGGAAAAGAGACTGGACGGCATCAGAATGTATGTGAGGTGCACAGGAAGCATCACAAGCAGGTCCTGCTCAGGAAGTGATGTGTAGGATTCTGTCTGGTAGTTGGCTTAGGCCTGCCAGCTTGGTGTAGCACCAGAGAAGTGTAGAGGGGACCATAAAATAACCACACAGGGGAACCTCATTCTCTTATGTGGTGGGAGCTTTCTATGACCTCACCACGAGCAAACGAGCTGGATGTTTCCAGAGTAAAAAAACCTTTCACTTGAAAACATTAAATTTTGAAAACAAAACAAAACAATAGTTTAAAGTCAAATATTTTTACTTCCAAACATACTCTATTTGATACTAACTTATTGCATGAGGTGAAATGATTTGAAGTCAGGATTTTATATTATAATAAAATGAGGGAAAAACTCCTACTGGTGGGGACTTTAGTTTGAAGGGACAACTTAAGAACTTATAATCTGATGCCCCCAAAGTCACTGGTATTGATCTTTGAGAACCAGCTAGTCTGTTCCTATGGCCACTCGGAGGGGACTGCCCCTGAGAACCAGCCAGTCTGTTCCTATGGCCACTCGGAGGGGACTGCCTTGGAGCATACATAGATAGGCCAGCAGGAGGCTGCTTCAACAGCTGCTCTTTGAGTCACTTTCTTTGGATATAAACAATTTTATACCTTTGTCCAAAGAAGAAAAGGATATTAAAACCATTTTCACTATTATCTGCTGCGGGATGTTGTTCTGTATGCTCCAAATGCGTTGCTCTGATTGGCTTATAAATAAAGTGCTGATTGGCCAGTAGCCAGGCAGGAAGTATAGGCTGGACAAAGAGAGAGGAGAATTCTGGGAGGTGGAAGGCTGAGGCAGGAAGACGCTGCCAGCTGCCGTGATGAGAAGCAACATGTTAAGATACCGGTAAGCCACGAGCCACATGGCAACTTATAGATTGATAGAAATGGGTTAATTGAAGATATAAGAACAGCTCGCAAGAAGCCTGAGCCATTAGGCCATACAGTTTGTAAATAATATAAGTCTCTGTGTGTTTACTTGGGCCTGAGGGCTGCAGGAGCCGGGCAGGAACAGGATAACTTCAGCTACAATTGTCTATATTCTCACCACTTGTTGCATCACTGAACATAAAGAAAAAAGTGCCCTTCACAGAGAAGTTAAGGGAAGGCCCATCCCTCTTCTTCCTGTGCATTCACTATGTGTGGCTCCCTAAGCCACCCTTATCACCTCCACATCTGTTATCCAGTGGTGTTGAGACCAAGTCTCCCTTCAGCTCCCTTTCCCTGGAGACCTAGCTGGCTAGAACTGCAGTCAGTTTTGTCTCTGTAAATGGCCCAGCACAGGGGCTGCCCAGCAGGTATCAAAGTCAGTATGTGTGTTGAAAGCAAAGGTCAGTGAAACATGAAAATATGAAGTCTGTAGCTCACTAACTACAACAAAAAAAGATATTCCTGTATCGAAATTGGTCGAGGTAATATCAAGGATCCTTGATATTAAAGTTTCCATTGTCCTTCTTGGGGTATTTCTCTATGATGGTATTCACATGCCTCCTCTTCTGGCATGGTAGACAGACCTGGGGTGCATTCACCTGTCCTGATGAGGGCAAAGAGTTCTGTTATTGCTTTAATTCCTTTTAATTCATGTATTTATGTTTTCTTGCAGCATTGAGGATTTAACCTGGGGCTTTGCTCTACCATCAAACTACAGGGTCCTGAGATCTTGTTATGGAGCTCTGGTGGCCTCAAACTCTCAATCTTCCTGCCTTTGCCGCTGGAGTGCTCAGGTGACATATATCACCATACATAGCCCTTCTCTCCATTCAGGGTCACTGTTAAACTACATTGTCCTTCAATATTTCATACATAGGACATCTGACAGGAACACACACACACACACACACACACACACACACACACACACACACACACCCCTTATAATCTTACATCAAATAAAGAACTTTGACAAAACCTAGTAAGATGGACATTGACAAACAACTACATACAGATTTCCTAAGAGAAAACAAATTATTCAGGATAGGTTTCCCAAATACAAGATCACCATCAAATATGGGTATTTATTCTTTATGATGAGCTCTGGAGTCCAAGATTGCAATCCAGGATGTTTAAGGGGATTTTAAGCTCAAAGACACTCAGGCCATCCACACAAGAGAAGCATGTCATTGATGGCCAGAAATTAGCACTAATTTAATTCAGTCAATTTCCTTCTTGAAATGATGGAGAGCGCCTTCATGAGAAGATGAAGTCTATAACCGAGTCATTTGTTATACTTAATATCCAGATAAAATCCTATAACAGGCTGCATTCTGCTTCCGTAATTCATTATTTTTAATTGGCGTAATTTCAAATCATATTATTAAATAAAAAGCAGCCATCTCTTTAAGTTCAGTAGGTACCCCGCGCGCGTGCGAGGTTAAGCAGCTTGGTTTTTCCTGGTAGCCATGATACATCCTGAGTCGCACTTCCCCAAAGGATGCACTAATCTTTATTTCTGGGCAGTAAATGAATCACAGTGCGTGACATAACACAAAAGTCAGGCCACATTTACTCAGATTATCTTTTCATGTTCATTTCTTCACCTTTTATCCAAATAGAGAAAACATGAAGAGGATTTAAAATACAATCTCACTGTATGTCCTTAGTTTTATTTTGAAATCATTACCCAAAGGTTTATCTGGCATAATGTTGAAAAAAAAAAATGAGTGAAACAGGAACCTACTGCTGTGATCACACACACACATATGTCAAGGAGCCTGGCTTTTAATATATTGGCGTAACCCTGGTGGGAGTCCCGCCCATGCTCATAGACATCTTACTAGTACATGTGACTTAGAAGTGCTTGTCCTCTGTAATGCTCAGGGTGATCCAAAGACATCACCAATCGAACCACATAGACATCACCCATCCAATCCAGATGTCTATCATTTTCCTGTCCAATCTCACTGTAGATTTGCCTTGCTCATCCAAAGTCAACTCAAGAGCTCCCCCACTTATCAACAGGTCTTAAACAGAGAGCCCAGACTTCCTTCTTTTTGTTTATCAGGGTGTTGAGATGTTTCCTTGAACTTGGCCAGCTGGAATCCCTTTATCTCTAGGCCTTGAAATGGGCTTTGAAAGAGACTTGCTTCCTTGTCTGAAATCACACTTTCTTTGGAGTTCCAGACTATGAAATTGGGGACATCTATCAGAGGTTGAATCCTTATTCCTACACGGGACTGATATTATCTTGTCAGCGTCAGCCAGAAGAAACTACTCATGATCTTTAAAGACTGACCTTTTGAACAAGGCTCAAATACAAGATTCCATTGCTAGAGTCCCAAGAGATTTCACATATTTTGTTGAGAAATGTTTCAAGTGCTTCCCTGTATTTTAACAGTATGTTTGCTCACAGCTGTCTAAATAGTAGACATGTAGTCATGGGCTCATCCTCTCAATGCTGAGAAGGAGATTCTAGAAAAAGCATGACACGGAGTCAAAACTACTCTATCTCCTATCACCATCCAAACCCTTCTGTAGTTTAATCCCAACTTCTTCCTTCCCAAGATGCATCTCAAACACTGCACCCATTACTGGTCAGTAAGGCAATCCTTCCCCCAAATGGCTGCTCTTAGCTGTTGTACTTTTAATGAAATCTTATTTCAAAGCACTGGTTATATATGTCAGAGATTAAACCTTAGATATAGAATTCTTTAAATTTAACACAAACTCACTGAACGCTCAGTGGGGCTTTAAAATGAGCTAAAACAGTACATGACACATAAAAGATGTAACACTTGGTGTTGGACAATTGGCCAAGTTCAGATAGACAGACAGACAAGAGAGGGACTGTCCAGAGAAAGAGAGGAGGTTATGTTCAGGGAAAGGGCAGAAGCAGGGTACTAGGGGCACAAGGGGCATGTGTCAGCACGGGGTGGGAGATACATTTGTGTCAGGGAAGGCCGGGTGAGCTAGGGCTCCTAGGTCAGGGTTAAGTTTACTGTAGAATCAACAGGCAACAGAGATTTCATCTTTGGCTGTCTTCCATGAGGCTTAGCCACGGCAGGAATGCAAGTCTGAGCCATGAAGGGTACCAACCTCCCTGCAAAGACGAGCACTATTTGTTTTTAATATGGAACAGGGTTTCAAAGGCACACTGGTTTGAAGCACAGACGTATTCATTTGCATTAAATGAAGTACAAATTCCAGCTTGTGGCAACAACAAAGTAAAGTAGACAAGGGTTTGAAGACGCACACCTTGGCATGATGAATATCAAGTACACTAGGGTGTGAAAATGCATACCTTGGCATGATGTAAATCTACCCCGTACATGGAGAGTTTTTTGGCGTTTTCCAAGAAATGCATCTCCGCCTCCGCTGGCGTCATTCCTCTGATGAGAGAAAAGTAAGTGTTAAACTTTTCCAATCAATTAGAATTGAAAATGGAAAGCAGCTAGCCAGGTTGGCTCCTGCATGCCAGTCAGCTGCTTTCCCCTTATCTCGTAGGGCTTCCGTCCCTCCTATTGTGTAAGAAAGTCTTCATTGGGAAACCAGCAGATACAGGTTTGAGCATCCCTAATTCAAAAATTCCAGAGCTGAAATGCTCCAAAAACTGCATGTTTTAAAGCATTGATACAATGCGCAAGGCATTCTAAAAACATTGTATAACGTCACCTGGAGGTCATGCGCATTAGGGGTTTATGAAACATAAATGAAATTTCCTATTTAGATTCTCGCTTCATCCCAAACAGAAGTTACTACATTATATAACTCTCCAATAGTCTGAAAACCTCTGACATCTGAAACACATCTGCTCCCAAGCATGGCAGGTAAGAGAGTCTTAGCATCTCCACGGGAAAACAATCACGAGGCAGACAGCTTTGTAGGAACACCCACAAAAGGGTGCCTGGATGCTCTGAGAGGAAATTTACCTAAACCACCATTTTAACCGTGTGCGGCCTCTGCCCCACCCTCAGTCCCCGGCATCAGAGCTGGGCTGGAGACCTGACGGAATGTACACCGGCTTTCCGCACCAACCTGTGGCTCTTGTGCAGCTCGACCACTTTATCCTCCAGTTCTTTCGTGTGGTTTGGTGCAAAGCGGAACTCACTGATGTAGTCACTCCCACACTCGTCGGGATCGTAGTCCCCGAGTTCTGACTGTACCGTGTAGGAGCCCAGCAGGGCAAGAGTCACGAAGGAACAGGGAAGCCTTCCAGAGACGATGTCATCTCGCAGCTGTAAGCAGAGGTAGTACCTTCCAGGGGCCGAAAGGACAAAGAGAAAGCTGACATTAGCACACAGTAACAGGAGTTGGAAGGGGGCAGGACAGCGTGAACATGGTCTAAAAACATTACATTCATGCATGAGATTTCTGAGAAAAAAAGGAGAGCATTTAATATTCATAAACAATTTCTCCCAGGCCAGTAACCTCTTTAAGGACACATTTGCATACCGTTATAAGGACCTCAACTATAATCAGTCTATAGAAGAAGAAATTATGGGGCTACAAATATAGTATTTAGGGAATCTGGAAGAAGGAACTTTTCACAGTAAAACAAGGCTCTATCAATCAAGCGCAGAGTGAGGCACTGAAGGAGGTCTTTTCCTAGTATTTCACACCCTCACACATCAGCTGGGGTGACCTGTCACATACAAGGATGTTCTTATGTAAAACCACCAGACCCCATGCAGTCTTCAGGGAGGGCTCAGTCTAAGATCTAGATGACAGGTCTTGCCATATGACCAAGCTGACCTCAGATAACCCAACAGCTGTCCTTTCTCTAGTCTCAGTGGCTGCGTTTCTAAGAACAAATGATTTCTACTCTTTTAATTCTTTTTCTTTCTTTCTTTTTTTTTTTTTGTGTGTGTGTGTGTGTGTATGTGTGTGTGTGTGTGTGTGTGTGTGTGTGTGTGTGTGTGTGTGTGTATGAGATATCTTCCTGGAATTTAGCTGATACAAATTCTATAAAAATCTCCTACTTTAAAATCTGGGACACTTGTCATTATAGGTGAATAGTTTTAATTTTTTTTTTTTTTTTTTTTTTTTTTTTTTGGTTTTTCAAGACAGGGTTTCTCTGTGTAGCTTTGCGCCTTTCCTGGAGCTCACTTGGTAGTCCAGGCTGGCCTCGAACTCACAGAGATCCGCCTGGCTCTGCCTCCCGAGTGCTGGGATTAAAGGCGTGCGCCACCACCGCCCGGCTAGGTGAATAGTTTTAAATGGGAGAAATATAAAAACATTTTTCACATAATTCTGCCATGACATCATAAAATAACTACATTAACAATTGACCTGTTTGAGATTCACAGATTAAAAATAAAATAAAATAAAAAAGAATTAAATAAAAATTAACAGATAAACCCCTGAGGGTAAGTGCTGACACCCACGAGTTTTGACGGATGTAGTCAACTACTCTCCATGTGAGAGAGGAGTCTGCAGGCCTCCAGGATGCGAGCCTGGCCACAGATAGACGAGAAGTCTATGTAATTTACATATCAGAGTTCTTACAGATACTACACAGTAGACAGGAACTATGCATGAATTTATGAGTCCAAGCACATTTAGGGTCTATAACCACAAAATTAGTCATAACTAATTATTTAGTCCTGAGCAGAAGTGTCTTTATATAGACAAAGTATAAATTTTCCCTGATTTCTTGCAAATATAAAAGAAATTCCCTGAAACTAATCATCAACTCTTCTCAAAGATTTTGGTAAAAGTATTTTTCAATGCAGTAAGTAGAGGACACTGTTTTAAGTAACTTATTTTCTTTGAAAATCCTTAAAAAAAAAAAAGGTATGAGGCTTACATAGAAAACGTATACACAGGACTAAGTCACTTTGGACATAACCTCACTACCAAACACAGGGAGGGATGGGGCTTCCAAAGCACAATGTGGGAACATCTACAAAGGTATGCGAATGGAGAATGGTGGTCCTGGTTGTTTGTGTTCCAGCTTCCAGCCCTGAATCCAAAAGTGGAAATGCTAGCCCCGCCCAATGTGATGGGTTGGGAGGCGGGGCCTTTGAGAGATGATCAGATCATGAGTGTAGAGCCTTCATAAATGCAATTAGTGGTTTTAAACAGGCTACAGGGCAACTCTCTGTAATAAGCTGGCAATCTGCAACTCTGGAAAAGACCCTCATCGGAATGCCCACACCAGCGTCCTTGTCTTGAACACCCAGTCTCCAGAATGCCTCAAGTGAATTTCTATTTGTAAACCACAGTCTTAGGTCTTTGGGGACAGGAGCAAGAACAGACTAAGTTACATCGTGTAGTTTTGTCAAGGGAATCCCTTTTCGTGCTCTAAGCTCAACCACCAAACTGGAATATTTGTAGGTTAGGTCTTTTGCATAGTATCCTCTTTCCAGAAAACAAATCCATCATTTCCCTTTTTTATGTATACATGAAAGAAAGTAAACTCTAAAATTTATCCATGCTTCCCCTCCCTCTCTCTCAGTCTCTCTCTCTCTGACTGTTAAATGGCTATGAAGTATCAGGTTGGTTACATACAGAGCAGAAGCATATAAAGATATTTGTAATTAAGTTTTAAAGCAGGATCACTCAGTGTTGCTGTATCATTTATGGCTGAATCCCATCCAGTTTGGCTGTGGTGGATGGGTGACTGTGTCTCAATTCTGAATGTTTTCCCAGGAGGGTCAGCCTATCACTGAGGATTCAACTGTGACGAGGTAGCATCTGGCAACTCCTGGCATCTTAGGTTTGCACTCATTCAGCTGCCTCTGGCTTGCCATTGGAGAGACGATGACTGTAAGGCGACCAGATGGATGCATGCTCTTCCCTGGAGCACTCAAGAGATGCATGGCCCTCCCAACGCGCCTACTGTTCCCATAGCCAACTTTCAAATACCTGGTGATATCTTCTGATAGCTGGGCAGGGTCTGGTGGGTAAAACTTCACATTAAATGAAAAATGCCAAGCACCACCTGTAGGGATAGGACACATCAGGACAAATCCTTAGGAATCAACTTAGGATCGACTCCAGGCATTAACACCAGACACCTTTTGATCACTGTTAACTGGACCCAATAGATAATTTCAAGTCTTGTCCTCAGTCAAGTTATTTACTGGCACTTTTTAAAAGCAAGGAAATTCACCAAATTTTCTCTTTTTCTAATGATCGAGAATAAACCTCTGGCAAAGGGGGAGGGCAGCAAATGATGGGGGTGGTAATCCTGCATCTGATAACTGGAACTGGCTAGATTTACTGCTACGATTCTCCTGACAGCTCACATGCCAACAGTACAGACAGAACTCCTGTCTCCTAGGTCCTCTCTGCTCTGTTATTGCAGGTTAATTCCCATTAGAATAAATGTCAAGGGACCAGTGAACATGTATTTACTTTATGGGAAAGGTTTGTTGTAGTGAATACTACTTTCAATATTCTGGTGGCTGCTGAAGATTCCTTTCTTGCTCAGAAGACGTTCTGATGCATCGAACAGAGGCCACTCAGTCCCCACCCAGGGTTCACAGGGGTCTTTTTTTTTTTTCTTATATTGTATCATGTTTTGCCTATGGCATCTTTTAAGTTCTCTCCAGCATCGAAAGGGTCAGGCAGATGTTAGCTACTCCATTCTCTGCACTGTCTGTACATGTCTAGCCTTAAAGCATTACCCAGGTTTCCTAAGTGCTATGGTCTGGATTTACTATGTTCCCTAAAAACTCATGTGGAAGGCTTGGTCCTCACCGAGGTTGTGCTTGAGTGGGACCTTTGGGATGTGACTGGATACTGACAGCTCTAATTTTATGAATGGATTAATCCATTTATAGACTCATAGCTTTGTGGAAGTTAAAGGAGGGACACTGTTATAAAAGTGAGTACCCCCTCAGTCCTGGCAGCTTTCCAGTGTCACCCTCGCCCTGCCGCAAGGCGCTGCCCAGTCACAGGCCCAAAAAGCAAATGAGCCAAGTGACCACAGAACTGTGGGCTAAAACAAACCATTTCTCCTTTACGTTGACTCTCTTAGGTGTGTTATTACAGTGTGAGATGGTACTTGGCACACTGAACTCTGTATTTCAGTAATCGAATGACCACATCAGCACACTCATTTTCTCCTTTTCCATACTTTTTTTTTTTTTTTAAAGACATAGTCTTCTTTTTTCCTATTTACCTTGTTTATTTCTCTTGGCTTGGAAATACAGTGACTTAGCAAATCCTGGGCATTCCTTCTCCTGTGACGCTGTATCGTTTCCTCCAGTCAACAACTACACTAGAGGTTCTTTATTATAACCGCTAAAGCTCCTGGAAAGTTCCTCAGATGTTCCCTTCCATTTGTGCCACAGGTCACAAATGTTTCTGTGACCCCCTGAACAGCTCTTATTTGCCCGTCCTCTGCACATCTTCCTCCTCCTCTGATGCCCCCTTTGCCTGTGAAATGACTTTTGAGAACTCCATGTGCTCCACAAGCCATTCCCAAACTCTGGACAAAGGAGCACCACTGGACACATTTCCTAGCTCTGCTCTGGCACATGTGGCAATACTGGGCTTTGTTAGCTTCTACATTTCTGTCACCAACATCACAGTGCCACTTATACCTCCTAGTTTATTCTCCAAAACAACCATTGACCACACACTTAGATTCTACATGCCAAAGAGTTAGCACCCAGCCAGCTATTACTAGGTACTTAATGCCATTTTCAAGACACTCGAGATATGAAGGCAACAGAGGCTTTAAGAATTATAAGCCATAAATATCTGTCATTCAAATATATTTTAGCGATCATTTTTCTACTGTTTCAAAAAATTGTCTTTTTTGCCATTCTACAGTCTTATTATTTTTTTAATGTCCCTATTGATTCTTGCTCAGTTTTTATTACAACAGACCCCTTTCAGTGTCTGCCAATAGTGAGCTGATAACGGGAGTGGGCTTTACAGGAAGCCAGTGGAACCCAGACTAATGGATTGCTTAAGGGAAGAAGACTCACTGCACTTTCCTAACTTTCATCTACTCCAGGTGAGCCTTTCAGTGATTTCAATGACAAGTCCTGCAGTATAATTAAACCATTTTATAATAAACTCAGAGTGAGAATTCAAAGTCGGAAACTAACCAGTAGAAAGAATAAGCAATGCCTTTCCGTACAAAACACTCATCCTACAAATCAATTTTGCAAATGACAGTGAGCCTAAATGTACTAGAGCTGTTTGGAAAAACGAAACGTTTCTAAGCTTTATTCCCAGAGATTTGAGTTCCTGAGACTTGGAATATTGTGTTGGACCTTTGGTTTTGGTAAGCACGCTTGTGTTCCTACTATGGGAGGTGTGTGTGTGTGTGTGTGTGTGTGTGTGTGTGTGTGTGTGTGTGTGTAGTGTCATCACGATGACCACCCTTGTGGTCCTACAATGGGAGGTGAATGTGCAGTATCCCCATGATGACCGCTATTACAAAGGGGTCACATTCTTAACTTTTCCTGGAAACACTACCAAGTCTTTCATGGCATTTTCAAACAAGCAGAAATCTTAAGGAGACAATAATAAAATCTACACACCGATCAAGGTCCAAAACAAAAAGCCAGTGAAATGTGACCTTTTAATGAGAAAGTGAAATTTAGAGAGAGGGGAGAGCCGGAGTGGTGGGTGGGGGAAAGAAGCAACAAACTGTCTGGGAAGAGGGGCTTATGCATAAGAGCAGACAGTCCTGACTCTGCTCAGAGGATGGCCTAGTGGGAAACAGGAAGTCAAACAGCTCTAACACACTGATGGAAATATTCCTGTACACCCTGTAGTATTTCAAATTAGAAACTTTTGATGAACAAAAAACTGACTTATGAAAAGTTTCTCATCTTAATCTTCAATGCCTGATAAGTCTTAAAACTCTACAGTGTTTTTATGTCATAAATTACTATATATCATCTTCTTATGTATCATAAATTACCTTATTATGAATATACTATTCACATTATGTAATAGACTGTGAGGTTTTTATGATCTGTGTGGATGTATAAAACACGTGAACAGGAATGCTTTCCTAAGAACAAAATCTCCAGTGTCAGAGTTTACATAAATCTGTGACTGTGCTCATCAGCTTGATCCTCATTCTCAGAAGGATCTCACTCTACCAGTATGGCATGTACTTGCCTGTAAAGATTATTTAAGAAAATATTAAACTTATGAAAATTTCACTAATATGAATAAGGGGAAAGCGATGTCTCATTAATTTGCATCTAATCACTAGATTTAGCAATCTGCTTAATGTTATTAGCTATTTATACTCCAATTTTGTGATATGCTCATGGAATCATCTTGTCATTCAGGAAACACACACTTTTTTGTTGTTGTTGATCACATTCTATCTCTCTGAACTTGTGATCCTCCTGCCTCGGCCTCAAGGCGGGGATTGGCAAACATGTGCCACCAAGCCTAGTAGAAATGTACATCTTTTGTCTTTAGGAAATAAGGAAAAGGTGGCAACCACAACAGGCAACTGATTTGTTATTCACTTTCAAAACCATCAAACAGTTAACTTTGGTGTGACTTCTGTACATTGGAAACAGTTTTAAATGGATAATTAAGTCTGGAACTTTAAATGATTAAGTGGTGAGTGCAGCAAAACTTGATTACATTGCATTTCACATCTGTGTACAGGCAAGGAACAGGTCACCTGTCAAAGTCATTTTAATTTCTGAGCTGTGATGACAAAAACAGGTCCTATTGGAGCCAGAGTGATGTGTCAGATCAAATTTCAGCTTACAGTCTATCTTCGAGGCGTTTCTTCTTCATAGGAGCCACGTGAGTGTGGGTCACCAGTTCATGCAACACCCCCTCCCCCCCCAAACACTGTCACCACGCCACATCAGAGAATCCAAAGGAACTTACTTCGAATCTGTTTTTTAATTTCCTTAGCAGGGTCCAACCAATTCTGAAAAAGAAACAACAGTATGAATTTGAATCAAAGAAGAGTAAAATCTAATCTGATGATTGGACACAGACAAGTCCTCTATGTACCAGGAGGGAACTGTCATGGGATGGGCCCTCTCCACTGTGGCTCTTCCCAAACATCTGGTGGCCTCCTGTCAAGCCATGTGAGGGGACAAATACTAAATAAGGAGACACATGCATTTACAATTAATGTCCGCTACAATTCTTCTCCTGGGAAAAGTCAGATGTTTAATAATGAAGTCCAACATTGTCTATCACTTCAGTAGGAATATTCTTGACTTGTGTATAATAAACATAAGTGATCCATATGAACAGTACTTTCACACCTTATGTTTTAGCATCTGCAAATGGAAACAATTCCCTTCTTTCTTGCTTAGTTGTGGGATAAAGCCCTGAAATGGTGCCGTCAGCCTGGTGCAAACATCTAGTAATGTTGACTTAAGCACTGACATTGACTAGCATACTGGACAGCAAATGTTATCCTCACACCTAATTGTTTATGTCACAGCTGTAATTTCTTCACAGAATTTGGGGGTATGAGTAAGTTTTCCATATAGGAATCGAAATATTTGGTTCTCATGGGCTCAAGAAATTGGTTTAACTATGAGGAAAAGCCCTGTATCCAATGTTTCCTTGGCACTAAATCTCAAGGATGAAAACTGCGACTGACCTACTGTCTCAAAAACATTCAATGATATAGGAAGCTGCCAAGGTTTTCTTCATGAGGGAAAAGGGAGATTAATTTAAGGACCCAAAGGAATGTAAGCACGGGGCAGGGGGCACACAGAGAGAACGCAATGTGTCTGTTTATTTTCAGATCACTTCTGTACAGTAATACACAATCACCTTCTGATTCTCGGCGTCTCGGTACGTCAGACCAAAGTAATCTTTTTCGAGCAGGTTCAGATGCTCACACACTTTGTCAAACAGCACTTGTCCTCGGGAGCGCTTCTGTGCAAAACAGGACAGGAAAGCAAGTCAGCACACCCAGGAGACCAAAATGAAACAGGGCAAAGTGTAGAACGCAGATTGCTGAAACTGGTCACTGAGTGATGGTCACTGAGTGATGGATACAGCGGGGCGTGTCTGTAACCCCCAGTTGGGAGTCAGATGGAGACAAGAGGATCTCCAGAGCTCTCCATCTGGCAAGCCTAGCCAATCAATGACTTCCAGGTTCTGGGGGGAGATGCTGTACAACGGCTCATACTAATCACCGTGCAGACAGGATCGAGATCCACCTAGGGCACGAGCTTCTGGTCATTCCCATGAGGATTTACTGAGATTAGATGAGCCTCTGAGCGCACCTGCGAAGGACTGCATGCATTACAGTCATTGAGGCTGGGGGTTCTAAACTCTGAGTGAAAGGGAAAAGGAAAAGTGACTTTGGCATGAGCATTCGCCACTCTCAGCTTTCCAAGCATGGATACAAAGCAACCAGCTTCTTTGAGCTCCGGATGCCATGATTTCTCCACCACAATAACCTGTACCCTCAAACTGGGAGCCAAAATGAGTCTCTCTCCCTTTTAAGCTATCTTTGTCACACAAATGAGACAAATAATTAATATTCCCTGTACCAGAACATAAGGTACAAAGCGGTGAAGACAGCTGAGGTGGATTTCTGGCCTTGATACCCAGAGCCATGCCTATGTACCTCCACATATGAATGAACACACACACACACACACACACACACACACACACACACACACACACACACACAAAGTGATTCTCATCCTATAAAGCTATCTCTACAAATGAATATACAAAAAAAAAATCCAAATGTCAATAGTGTCACCTGGAAAGGACTGGTGACTGGGGGATGATTCTTATGTAGAAGAAGCTGGAGAAAGAATGTGATCTTAGTGTCAAATACTCTGTGAGATATAAAGAGTCCGAGGATGGAAGAGAGTACCCTGTGATGATATTTTGTTTGTGCTCTAACAAATAAAGCTTGCCTGGAGACCAGAGTGCGAAGCTAGTCACTAAGGCCAGGCAGTGGTGGCACACATCTTTAATCTCAGCACTTAGGATCTCATGCCTTTGACTTCAGTACTTGGGAGGCACATGCCTTTAATCCTAGCACTTGGGAGGGGGAAACAGGAAGTGATATGGCTGGGCAGAGAGAGTAATATAAAGCAGGAGGAGACAGGAGCTTGGCCCTTTCAGTCTGAGGATTCGTAGAGGTAAGAAGTGGCTGTGGCTTGTGCCTTTACTTCTCTGATCTTTCAACATTTACCCAGATATCTGACTCTGGGTTTTTATGAAGACCAATTAAAATTTATGCTGCAATACACAGCACTTACAATGCCATGCTCAGAACATCCGGACTCAGCTCTCTGAATGTTAAGACTCCAAGCCTGGGAAAGACTCACTAGCTACTAACCCATGTCTTAACACTTCAAACTCTATTCCAATCTTTACTCAAGTCCCATAGGTTATTTTCCTCAGTATTCAAAATCCTCTTAACTTCTTTGAGAAGAAATACCCATGAACACAGCAAGACAAATATAACAAAATATTCATTAAGTTATAAGATTACGGTTAGGTCATAGAAATGTATGGTGCAGATGTACCTGCTATGTTTTGAATTCTCAAGCCATCATCTGGAGAAAGGGGAAAAAGTTAATCAACTGGGGAAAATATGCATCAGGTGGATTCACTGGGCTAACTTCCCATCAATTTTTATCTAATGCTTCAAAGGCCTTTAAACTCAGCCTTGGAGTCTGCAATGTATTAACTGCCAACAATTAAGCTAAATTACTTTCCTGTCCTGTGGAATTGATATTTCATATGCAATATGTTAAGCATATTTATCTTTGAGATTTAACATATTGACAATGAGATAAAAATGAAATTGATAAACTACGTCCATGACAAAATAATAAGCTTGCAAAGACCTGTGAGTGGAGCATGTTACTATGCCTTTGTAATTATCCTGAAAGGTAATTACTCATTCCTTCAAAAGCAAGAATGTTTGAGGAAATACAGGATAACTGTATAATGGGGAAGTACAGTGGAAATAATGGCAAGCTACATAAGCAATGGTGTATTCCATGAAGTAAGAAAATAAATGACTTTTTATCAAACTGCAACACACTGCTCAGAAAATGTGAGAGAGGAAATGTTGCTAGGTGGTTTAAATCTTTTATTTATAAATCATAGTATTTCTGAATCACGATTGAAACACCGTGAAGTTTGCACATTAACACTGGTTCTTCCAATGCCTATGTCCTGCTTAGAGTATAGAACAGAGATGCAGAGAAGTTGGACGAAAGGACCAGTATTATGATAATAACTCCTGGCAGCACTTCAGAATCAGAAAAAAAAAAAAAAGAAACCTAGGCTGAATCTTCCATATGTCCCTTGCAGCTATGAGCCTTATCGTTGTCTTTGGTAAAATGGGTATGGTATTGTCTACTTCTTTGGGATGACTGACATTAAAATAAACAATTCACACATGACACATTCCATGAATGTAACCATTGTTACAGGGCAGTGCCTGACAATAATGATATAACATACAGAATCTTTTACTGTGCATGTTTTCTACAGGAGTATATAACACCTGGTGGTCCCAATAAGCAGCATTATCAACATGCCTTGATAGTAAACAATTATGTGTTTACTATCTAATATACATTGCTTATGTGTACACACAATACCCATAAACTTACATCAGTGACTGTCAAAATTCTTCCTTGGTGAGTAAACAGAAAAACAAAATAAATATAAAACGGTCTGTGTAGGCAGAAGTTTCTGTGTCCAGCCAGCAACTCCTAATACCCAGCAGTTGCTTGCCAAATAATTGACTAGGAGACTTAATGTTTCTTGTAAATGCTTGGCTGGTAGCTCAGACTTATTACTAACTAGCTCTTACGCTTAAATTAAACCATAATTCTTATCTATGTTTAGTCATGTGGCTTGGTACCTTTTCTCAGTACAACATTCTCATGTTGCTCCGAGTCTGGCTAGTGACTCCTGACTCTGCCCTTCCTCTCCCAGCATTCTTAGTTTGGTCACATTGCCTATACTTTCTGCCTGGCTACTGGCTTATCAGTGTTTTATTAAACCAATTTGAGTGACAAATCTTTACAGTGTATAAGAGCATTATCCCACTATGATGATATATTTTATTTGTGCTGAAATGTGTTTTTTTTTGTATGTTAATAAATAAAAGTGCCTGGGGGTCAGAGCTAATAGCAAGCCATAGCAGAAGTCTGGCAGTGGTAACACATGCCCTTAATCCTGATCCCATGACAGGCAGATCTCTGTGTGTTCAAGGACACCACCAGCATGGAGACACACACCTTTAATCTCAATACCAATCATAGAGACCTGGAGGTCTGTATAGACAGGCAATGATGAGGAGGTCATGTGGTTGGGTTTACAACCCATGAGAAGGCAGAACAGAAAGTCAATAAAAAGACAGACACACAGGAAGTAGGTCTCTTTCTCAGAGGAAGGATGGCAGCGGCAGCAGGTGTAAGAAGGCAGTTTTAGTCTCAGCTACTGCTCTGACCTCTTGGGCTTTTAACTCTGCATTTGGCTCTATGTTTCTTATTTAATAAGACTGTTACATCTACATTCCACAGCACTTCTGTTCGAGGTTTTGGATGATCCTGCCTTCTATAATGCCTGACCCAACAGACTACAGCCACCTTGCAAATGAGGGGTCCTTTCTGAGTATGTCATCCACCAGGGCAATCTGTGCAGTAACCTGTCTTCTGAGGTGTTCTTGCTTTGACCTAACAGGTGACACAGGTTAGCTCAAGTGCAGATGGCCTGATTGTCTTCTTCCTTCCCTGGCTGTCATAACTGATTTATATTAATGACTCATAGTTCTCTCCAGAATGTTCTACATCTTTTCTTATTGAGTATTTTGAACATATTTTGCTAATAGTGGTCCTTCCCTCACAGTGATATTTTGTTTCCTGGCCTTAAAAATCTTTAAACCAGGTGCTGAGCATCTGCTATAGACTCTATGGCCTGGAAACAATGACATCCCTCTCTACTAAGTGTCATCAAGGCCACCAGATACTTGAGTGATTCTGGAATGTTTGTTATTTCTCCATTTTCTTGTCCTTGGGCAAAAGACTTCATGGCATAAGGTGATGATGGGATTCAGGCTGCACCTCACCTCCTGTGGCTGATGGCTAACTACTGGATTTAAAACATTTGGGCCATGGAGCTCTGGCACCTCAAAATTTTGATGACAAAGAAGCTGCTAATGGGGAGAGCTGGGGCCTGACTTCAAGCTTGTTTTCTAGGCCAGAACCACAGCTTCTCTGGAACTCTTCCTGATCTGAAGAACTCTTAATCTTGTTAACTCAGATTTTTCTGTCTAGCAAATTATTCAACCTGGAGTCAACACTTTCTACTTATTGACATCTGGATGGACTTACACACTAGTTAGATTTCTGTTGCTGTGATAGACTATCATAAACAATGGTAACTTAAGGAAGTGTTTGTTTTGGCTTATAGATCCAGGGGTGTAGGTGTCCTTAATGTCTGGAGAGGCATACTGGCAGGAGCAGGAAACTGAGAGATCACATCTCATCTGTACACAGGAAACACAGAGAGACAACTAGAGGTGTGGTGAGGCTATACCTTCTCAAAGCCTGCCCCCAGTCATATACTTCCTCCAGCAAGGCTTTACATCCTAAAATTTCCACAATGTCCTCTAAAGCACCAGTAGTTGGGAACAAAGTACCCGAGACTATGCTGGGGGGCAGGGATTTCTTCTCATTTGAACCACGACTTGTAAATATATAGCTAAAGCTGAATACATGAGGATTTTTAGAGAAGTTACATTCTATGTTCTAGCTCTCAAAGACATGCTTATCATTAAGTGATTAAATGCAGGTGCTTTGTCATGAGACTGGAGTGTGTGATGCTTAATGTCAACTTGATGGGACTTAGAATCATGTTGGAGACAAATCTTGGGACACGTC